CAGAAAAAGCAAGAGTGATCACGTAATAAAAACAGTTACTAACACTTGTGTGTTGCAACATTACTTTTGGATCCAATTTAGCGTAGCGTTAGTTCTGGCAGGTCACGTTAGTCAAGCTCGCATCTGCTGACTCTCAGCTGATCCCCATCAACCTATGGGAATACGACACCTATCTAAGCATTCATATATAAGGTCCCTCTGTATTATCAGCAGTTTTCGCATTGCTCAATAGCTAATTACCCTCCTCCATCCCCAGCTCCTCCTCTGTCAGTCAGGATTCAGCCTTCTGATTATCCTTTGAATCAGACTAATTCTAAAATGTGTATATAAAATTATTGAACTTTAACGATATCTGCAATACATTTATGGAGGGGGGGGGTTATCGCTGCTCTCCCTGCTCTCATCCATGCTAGGCTGCATGGATGCGCAGGGAGTTCTTGCCCACAACCCAGCAAACAGCCGCTACACACATATACACACAAACTGCCATTCATACAAATGGAGCTCTACAGTGGTAATAGCCTCCATGCTGAGAAACTAAATTCTAGCTAAAAGCATCAGCCTTCAATATGAAGACAGAGGCCTGATGCACACAATCCCAGACGCCGATCATCACAGCGAACATTTTCATCTGGAATCCCGCACTACAAATTCCTGCTAAAAGAGGCAATGTAAAGGTACACAGATAATCAGATGCATCTGTCGCTCTGCTGCAGACAATCCTGAGAGAAAGATCAAGAGGTTTTAAGCTGTTTATGAAGATGAATTAACCAAATATGACACAGAAAAAAAAGAATAGAATAAAATAAAACATAAAAAAAAAAATGTAAAAACCAAAACTAAACTAAACTCCCGGTCATTTGCAATGATGGTCTGGGATATATCTGGCCATAACTGACACAGAATCAATAATCAGATGCAATTATAAGATTGATCATTTTGTCTATTAAATTCCTTCCAACTGCATGCATCAACTTTCAATATCAAGACAAGAGGCCTGATGCACACAATCCCAGACACCATTTTCATCATTTTCATCTGGAATCCCACACCACAAATTCCTGCAACAAGAGGCAATGTCGATAACCAGATGCATCTGTTGAATCGGCAGGATTTTTCTGTAACCAAGGTCAGCAATTACAGGAAGTTCAGGACATGAGGAGGGTGACGGGGGTACAGATCACAGCATGTGGTATAAAGGCTCTCTCTTCTATCTTATTTTGACCATATTTAGCTTGCACTTTCCTCTCGCAGGCAGACCGCAATCACTTTGGTTTGATTTAAAGCGACAGTAATCCTTTTTGCTCGTTCAATATCTCATTACGGTAATGCTTTTGGTGCCAAAACCACACAGATGATAGAAGGAGACACCTCAGGGAAGCCACAAATCAAAGCCACATGCTGTACCGGAGGGACCGGCCGGGTTCGTGTGGGGCTCGCTGGGGAATCTGCCCAGCTCTCCGCAGCTCGCACATCCAATTAGGAGATGAGCAGGACGAGCCTGAAGAACAAAAGCTCAGCTCACACAGTTGGGGCAGAATGACTTGCAGCTGTCTAACATGCTCTCTCACACAGAAATAATCAACCATAGGTTACCTAATTCAACACAAACCCGTTTCGTTCCCATCTGCAGCTTCTTTTTGGAAGGAACGGGACTGAAAAATGTGTTCGCAGTGTAGCTGCACTGTCCCAGGACTCAAGCGGTTTCAGCAGTTCATTAGGGTGAGGAGTTAGGTCATTGTAAGGCATTATTTAAAATGGATGAGCTCAGCTACAAGTCTAAGAAAAGACAGCCAAAGTGGAGGGTTTGGTAGCAGATGTCCCTTAGTCGTTTTTCCCAGCGGGAGGATTCTTCTGTATCGTTTGGGTGCGAGAGCGAGGAATCGCAAATGTTTATGAAAGACCCGGAAAGAGCAGCAGGTGTCCATCCTTCCTGGCTGGGGAAAGCGTAAAAGACGGCCAAAAGCATGGTAACATCAAACAACATACGCCAACAAACAGGCCCAATAAAAAAAGACCTTGGAAGTCTATTAAAGAAATGAGAACATGCGGATGTGATTCCCCCTACCCCCGCCATCTGATCCCGAGCTCCCGATCCTGGATCTGGTTTGAGTTGAAAAGCACGGAGACTGGCGAAATGCTCTGCCAGACTGAACCGCATTTGGTTTTGACTCTTTGGAGAGTCAAGAGACACAACAAACCAAATGTGAATGAGTTCATTGGACGTTCAACGAATCCACAGTTGTTTAAAATGGTAGAAGAGCCATCGTACGAGGGAGAAAATTTGAGAGGAAGTAGCTGAAAGTGGGCCACAATAAACTAGAGTGTTGTTAATTTGTGAACGCAATCAATAACAAGAAGGCCAGGAGAGGAGGGAATTAAAGTGAGTGACAAGCAGAAAGAAATCTAAGCTTCCATGACGAGCTCAAAACAGGGCTTTGAAACGCTCCCAAGAGAGCTGGATATCAAGCCTCTGGGTGCTGTGGTTACTGCAGATCTAAGAACTACGAACACTGTTTACTTCACTTCTATAACCTCCTGTGATGTGGTTCTTTGAAGCGAACCCTTTCCGGCATCTTCCAAGTCTTTTTTACATCTTTCTTTCAACCCTCTCTCTCTCCCATCTTACACGGCTTTCTGCATGTTCTACATTATGATGATGGCTTGATGTAGGAGGAGTGATGTGTTATGTCGTAAATCGAACAAACGGTGTATGATTATGTTTTTAGAAAAAGTCCATCCTATTCTGCCTATGATTGAGAAAAGTGACAAGCAGTTTCCAATGCTAAAAATATGTCAAAATTAAGTATCCACATGGCAGAATTTGATAAATATATAAAAATAAGTTTGCCAATATATGAAACTATGTGAATTATTTACTAAAGATTAGTCACAAACTAAAGATATATTATAATTTATGTAATATTTATTATATGTAACTATAATAAAACATTTCACAGTTAAAACAAATGATAAAATATACATCTGTATATATTTTATAATAATATTTTATATATATTAAATTAAATATATCTTAAATATTTTATATATAATAAAAACGATTTTAAAATATGAATATGAAGAAAAACATATTGGAATTGCATTATGCATTAGTACTGTAAACTTTTTTTTACCCTTTTCATGTTCTTATTTTTATTTTGAAATGTAAATTGTTCATGTATTCCACATTGACTCAACCCATGACATTACTTTTTCTGATATACGTCATATTTCTATGGTTATAAGTAATAGATGCTTTTTCATTTCTGGTTGATAGCAGACTAGTGTTGTTATTTTTTGCTCATTAAAAGTCTAAAATAAACGTATTTATTTCAGTTAATATTGTACTCTAATATTTAGTTTTAAGTTGAAGTAATAACATTTCTAAAACTAAAAAAAAATTTTTTTTAATAAATTAAAGCTAAATAGAAATAAAAAACTAATAAATGACAAATGCTCATAACAAAATTACTAAAAAAAAACTAACATTTATGTATAACTAAAATAAAATGAAAATGAAAAAAGAAAATATAAAAATAAAAATAAAAGCTAAATTTAAAATATTAATAAATACTATAAAGTTATATATATAAAAAAGCAACACCGAAATATAATATTAGTTTCATTTTTCATTTTAAGTAAAATGTGGCACAACTGACCCTATGCTTACTCTTCAGAGTACAGGCATACACACTCATTATGCTGAGTACGAAAAAAAATACAAATAATAAAAATATGAGCATGGGGAAAAACATTGGCCAGGTGTTTTAGACTTTCGGCTCTCTCCACCCTCAGCCTGTGGTGGTGGGAAGCTGACCTTTAATTCACAGTCCTGTGATCACTGCTCTACTGTGCGTTGAACGATAGCGGGTGTTTGGGCACAAGGTGTCATAAAACAGGCTCCCCAAAACAAAGTCATTATCATCAAAGCATCTCTGCGGGGAAAATCTGAACCTCGGCAGGGAAGCCACTGGGACAGTTTCAAAGCCACTAGTTTATGTACATGA